TTGTCCCAGTCGAATTGGTGTCCGTGGTTGTCTCTGTGTATTGATATGAGAGAGTGGATGTCATGTCTTTTGACGGTTCCAATACAAGTATCCTAGAAGTCGAGAAAACGTAAAGAAATAACCAATGACGTCCAAGGTCACCCACCAGGAGAGACGGTTAATAAACTCGTGGAGAAATCTAAAAGCTCACTTCAACAGATTGAATTATGCCCTGAAGATGCCGCCTAGTAGGACGGGCGATGAAAGCTTCGCAAATTAACCACTATCCAGCTTAGAGAACACAACCGTATCAAAAGGATAGATTCTAGATTATTATGTTTAAAGACAAAAAATCGTATTATTATCTATTTTATCATCACTAGTTTTACTTTCCATGTCATATGAACTTCCTTTGTTTGCATTAATATATTGAATTATGTATTAGACATTTAACCAGTTAATTGATCGATGAAGTAACTATTTACACTAGTAATCAAGATTATTTATTCTTTTAACTTCATTTGAAGAAAGATGTAAGAATTGAGCAGTATTTTATATTATTATTATTAGTAAATAAAATCCTGTTAACTTAGACACACTGACATCATTGAGGCTTATTGCTGTAGGCAAGCAAATTTGTGTTATGATTTTGTGATATATATATACATATATATCTTTATTCAAAAGAATCATTCATGGTTCAGTGATGTTATATACAACCAAAAAGAAGAAAAAAGCAATACTGGGATTAGACATAAAATCTCCTAACCGATGTCAAACGATATGGTAAGAATTTAGACAAACCTGAAGGAAGACATTCCATATTAGTTTGTTTATTAGATATATCATACAGTGGGAAAAAAAATAGTATTATTTACTGGATGACAATGTTTCGAAAGAGAAATCATGCACTGGCGACCGTAATCTCGAGAAACGATTCATCAGAAGTTAGTAATGAACCCTTGAGAATAACTGGTTCTTAAAATATGTTGCTGCAAAACAATGACTTCACGATGGTATCAGTCATCCTAAAAGTTAAGTACACATGAGTAAGAGTATGTGCGTCGGTGGCACAGTGGTTAGGACTTTCGCCGACCATGCACATGGTCCGAGGTTCGAGCCCACGCCGGCGCACACCTGATATCTATGGTCGGCCTGCAAAATTTGGGCTACCGATATCCATGCTGAAAATTCCATACTTGTACCAAAAATACAGTGTGGAATCAAGCTGTTAATCAAAAAAAAAGATAGTGAAGTTGTAACAGCAGAAAGTAAGACACTGAAGTCAAGGTATATTTCCAAGTGATCAAACCGCTATTTACATATAAATACAGTTTTGTATTATTTAACCAATCACTGAGCGTGTGATTTTTTGGCTTACATTAAACGAGATGAAATAAAATGTTCAAATAGAGATATATCGTATTTTGTTGTTAGTGCTGTATTGAACTGTGGGAATATGTGTGAGAATCATATTCCGTTGGAACTCATTGTCTCTATCACACCACCACAAGGCAATAATGTATTTATTTCGTGGTTTCGATGAGAATAGAAAGTTTTATTCAGAAATGTTCCATCTCATCGACGCAAAATATGCATTTCCATTTCAAAAAAAGTTATGTACAAATTGATGAACATTCAAAAGTGATCTACGCAGTATAACATGTTGAACAATAAGTTCTGAATCTCAGACTAACGACAGAATGTAAAATGTTTCGCATTAGTTCTTCAGTTCAAATTACCACATTTCATGCAGGCTTAAAAGGTAAGCAAATATGAAACAGTATGAGGCGAAACAAGGGTAAAGATATGTCCCAGAGAGAATTACTAACTACAAAGTCTTGGAGTTTAGGAAGTGAATGCGGGCGGGGTGAATACATCTACGATTTTGAATTACATCATAAAGTTTCCAACTAATGATTCTGACATATACAAGTGAAAAGCAACAATTTGTCAGAAGAAGCATCACAGATAGGAAGGACTTTAGGGAAACATAGAAAAAACAGAAGTGATGAACATTCCTGGCCAACACAGCAACAACAACAACAGACAATAACCAGCATAAATGCGAGGAACCTGAAAGAAACAACCACCTTTACCTACCGACCTAGAAAGCATCGTTTCAACTACAGGCGGACGAAACTGACGAGGATGTCAAAGTAGCGGGGATCGGAAAAGCAAGACAAGCTTTCATTACTCTCAAGCCTGTGTGGAGGTCACCAGCAATCAGCATGAAAATGAAAATAATAAGCGGATTTTGAACTCTAATATGAAGTCAGTGCTACTATATGAATCAGACACTTGGCGCGTCATGAAGAGCACCCAAAACAAACTACAGACCTTCATCAATAGCTGTCTTCACTCAATACTACTCAAGATCAGATGGCCGGCCAGAAAAGATCACCAACCAGGATCTCGAGGAACCGATTGTGCAACAAATAAGCAGGAAGATGGATTGGCCATACTCTGAGGGAACCATCAAGTGACATCACTAGGCAAGCCATTGCTCCAGTGGAACCGGAAACGACGCGACGAGTTGGTCGTCAATTCAAGGGTGACTTGGAGGAGTTCATGTGAAGAGGAGATGAAAGCATGTGGGCAGACATGGGGCCGGGTGAAAACATTGACAGAGAACCGAACGCAATGGGGACGTGCGGCTGAAGCCCTATGTTCCTCTAGGAATTAAAGGATATAATAATAAATAATAATTAAGACCATGGTCAAGCGATTTATAAAGTAGACTTATCTTAAATATCAGTTGCTAGATTTTCACCATGATTCAACATCAGTAGAAGAGAGATCATTAAAAATCAATGAGCTTTGAAAACGACTGTTTCATCATTTGTTTAGACTAGTCATCAGTGTTCACCCACGACGCCACCAAGGATCGAACCGGGAAGATTTAGTCTGTCTGACCAAATTCGTTAACCATTTATCAACTTCAGCTGGAACTTAGTGACATATAGTGCTACCTTTATTAACGCCTTCAATGAGAGTACGCTTCACCTTGACTCTACTGGTCACAACTTTCCAGTGCTTTTTCTGGAAATCCATCCAGGAGCCATCAGTAGGCTGATGACTGATATTCAGATGTTATAGGATTTGTGGAGATTTTTGATTAATTTCATCTGTTAAATTTTTTTCATGAATCAACAATCAGTTTGATCCACGAGGAAGTTTTAGGTGCACGCTGCTAGAGGAGTTCGAAAACAGGACAAAACAGCTTTCTAGTGTCCTCATGTCTTGAGTTACCCTCTAACTGATGTTCGAACATGACGAAACCCCCCCCCCACAATTCTATATATAATCTGATTATCTTGAATAATTTAATAAATTATGTCATTGCTTACTTCTTCCATTTAACCTTGTAACCATAGGCTCCTTTTCACACCCTCTTCACACTTGTTAAATTGACACTCTAGTAACTTTATTCTCACTCAAGAGCAATTTTAACCTTTTCTAACTTCTATCTTTGTTCCATTGAGTACCATGTAATTTACAACTTTTAATTTTCACCTCTAAAGCCACTTATGATTAATTACATCAATTATGTCACACACACCCCCTATTACTCATTGATAGACCACTATACATTTTTCTAAGTATAAATACGACTGTACAGCCTTTGAAGATGATTTCGTCGATAAAGAAAATTTTCTTCACTGAATCTGTCTTTTATTTTCTTGTAAAGATTCTTCAAAATTAGTCTTTCTAAACAGTGATTCTGCTGAAATCTAAACTCACAATCGCTGTAGATTAATACAATATATTAAATCATAATGGTGATCCCCTTTGAAATATAGGCAACGTTTGATTTTCCAAGATATTTTTAATGCCTTTAGAAACTTATTTCACACGAAAACTACTCAGGATGATAGAACGACGAATGAACATATTTTCTGATAGGTTTTATATCAGTTTTTTTTTAATTTCGGAAGTTGAACCAAGATCTTCTGTTTGGCAGATAATCACTATAATCGTTAAATCACAGTCGTAATTGAATGTTCAACAGGTCTACCTCGTAACCTGAAGGCCGTGAGGTCAATCGCCTGTGAGGTATCCGATGCTCGCGGCTGAAGAGTCCCTTTTATACTAATTATTTTATGGATTTTAAATTTTGCTTTCTTATATTTTTGCGTTCCCAGTGACTAAAGCTTTGAAGTTTAGTTAGTTGGTTTATTTTTACGGGATGGGGTTGACAACCTGTCTGATGCACAGCCTTCCGTCTTTAAAGAGAATGATGCTTGGGGCGGCTTCGTGTACTCTTGGAAGTGTGTGGGCGGTTGTTACTTCTCAGCTGCCCACACCGTGGAAGTTGGTCAATTCTTCGGGTACCTGAAATAAAAAGAGGGTTAGTGTTGCGTGACCACAGAGTCCAAAGGGCAATTGCTTGAGGTCTCCTTGAATATGTTCCGCATTGATAAAATTACCGCCGGCTTCGGACCACCGTAGGATAAGTCGGGATGTACAGTTTCTAGGGTCGACCTTTTCTGGCTAACCCCCTCTCTGTAGAGTGGAGAGACAGCATAGCTGGCAGGCTGGTCATCCGAGGAAAACACCTTACAGCAGTTACATCCCTGTTTCCCAACAGTGAGACTTCGCCCACAGACCCCCAGCATAGCGTAAAAACGAAATTCTGACAATATTCCGGTAATTGCTTTTAGTCCAATCGCTATCCTAACAACCTTCCAGCAGGAACAATAGTTCGAGGCAGTGTAGCCTGTTGGCTCGTTGTGATGTGCAAGCCCAACCACCACGTCAAGGTAGCAGCTATCGGTTGGGCTTCCGTTTTTACCAATCTAATAGCTGCCTTCGCGAGGTAAAAGAGTGCGTCGGCCAGGGATCGAACCCTGGATCACATGCGCTATTGACAACCATTTTAAATGCAGAAGTAATTAAATAAGAAACCTTCACCTTGACAAAACGACTAAACCGTTTAATTCACCTTCTTATCTGGTTTGCCAATCTCGTAATATTACAATAAACCTTTGAAATATGCGTATTTTTCTCTCTCTCTTTAGGTATTGAACTGTCTATTCGAAGAGGTGAATAAACTTCATGAATGCGCTGCAAGAGAGTTGAATGTATCACATACAAAAACGTTATTGTCTATAGAGAACGCTACTAATGCAACAAAATGGAGAGCTTCAAGTATTATGACTACAGATGCAGATGGTGGTGGCAGCTCAAAGTATCGTAGTTCATCAACAAGTCGCATGATGTCTAGGTATGTAATTTAGTGTGTGTGTGTATACACACATGAGATGCATTTTGTTATGAACGAAAAAGTCAAACACTTAAAAAACAAAATACACTTAATCTTTGAACTCAAACGAAATATGTTGACTCAAAATATACAAGCCAAATATCCCGTTACGACCAATTGTATCATTCCCAGGTACTCCAACATATAATTTATCCAAAGAATTATCCAGAAAACTAAATCACCTAACGGAATCTTGTGATCACTCCATCAACTCAGCTATCCAGTTCCTTGAGAAAATCAGAGGCATCCAAATAGATGAACAAGAAATAATGATATCCTTCGAGGTCACCTCAATCAGACAAAAACTAGCAAAAGATACCATGGAGCAATTACTTAACAACGACGAACAACTTCCACAACAATCAAAAATGCAACACACAAGCTGGATGGAATGCATAAACCTATGCCTAACAACATACTTCCAAATCAACGGCCAAATGTATAAACAAGTCAAAGGAACACTCATGGGATCGCCAATATCAAATTTGATTGCAGAAGCAGTGATGCAAAGACTCGAAAACATCATTCTACCAAAGATCAAACCCAATATTTGGATGCGTTACGTTGACGACACATTTGTAATAATCAAAAGAAACGAGTTAGATAAAGCTCACAACTTAATAAACAACGTCTTCAACAACATCAAATTCACAAGAGAAGAGGGATCCGAGAACAAAATCCCATTTTTGGACGTCTTAGTCAAGCGAACAACCACAGGGGAATTAGAAACTCAAGTTTATAGAAAATCAATTCACACAGACCAAATCCTGAATTTCAACAGCAACAATCCAATAACACGCAAAACGAATTGTATACAAACACTATTCAAGAGGGCAAGGACTCATTCCAGCACTCCTACCTTAAAGAAAATTGAAGAAAAATATTTCATGGACGTCATTCAAATGAGTGGATATCCACGGAATTTCATCAAAAGATATATGCCCCCAAGCCGACCTATCAAAGCAAAAGCCACTAAGGAAATCACAAAGAAAATCGGCCTACCATATATAAAGGATATCTCAGAAATCACTACAAGACTCTTCAAATCTCTAGGAATTGACGTCGTACACAAACCAACAAAGTCACTTCACTCAATTCTATGTCGACCAAAAGACTCAACAGCGAACGAAGATAAAACCAACATCATCTACAAAATATATTGTAACAACTGCGAAAAACACTACATTGGCCAAAGTGGACGTCCTCTTCGTCTTCGTATCCACGATCATAAGCTATCCGTCAAAAGACATGACATCCACTCTCTCATATCACTACATACAGACAACAACGGACACCAATTCGACTGGGATAACCAAAGCTCAAATATTAGACAAAGGAAACAACAAGATGCTAGAGAATTTTTAGAAGCCAGCCTGGTATTCCAGGGAATCATCCATCAATACACACATCGAGATAGACAAAATTTACTAACTGATAAGAAGGAAATGTCACACACAAAGGGTCAAATTTCAAGTCAAAGAAACAATCAGTTCCAATACAAGTAGCCTAGAAGGTGTCAAAACACACAAAACAACCAAGACGTCCAAGGTCACCCATCAGGAGAGATGGTTAATGAACTCGTGGAGAAATCTAAAAGCTCACTTCAACAGACTGAAGCATGCGCTGAAGATGTCGCCTAGTAGGACGGGCGATGAAGCTTCGCAAATTGACCACTGTCCAGCTCAGAGAACATAACCACATCAAAATCATACACCTGAGCTACAAATCTTCTCTATCGTATCTATTGGCGATTTTAATGCAAAATATTAACCAGTTGCATTTCAAATGACCTTGCAACATTAGTTAAACAGCCAGTTAAATTGATGTGATGAAAAAATCGATAGCACAAACATCCATACACAATCAACTTCGTTCGCTCATCATAAACTGACACACTGTTGATGGTGTCTACCATGATAATGAAACATTTGTGACACTGAAGCTCAGTATTACAAATACATAGATTATTGATAATTTCCGGCGTTAGTTATTATTACTATTCCCTTGGATTACAAGTGGAACGTAGGGCTTCAGCAACACATCTCCACTTTCTTCCATTTTCTGCAGTACTTTTCAGCTAGGTTCCAGATTGCCCATGATCTCTTATCTCCTCCCCACCCCCAGATGATCTTCTCCGTGTCACCACTCGTCGCTTCCCATTTGGAATCTACTCAAGGTTATGCCTGAAATGCGATGTCTTTTGACGGCCTCATTAACGTATGTCGAATCCATCCATCTCTAATGGCCCCTAATTATTTATTGAGCAATCAACTCATGGTTGGTTTGTTCCCAGCCAGAGTTTATTGTAGCTAATTCTCTCTGGCCGGCCGGCCGGCCATTTGATCTTCATTATGGAGCCAGAGAAGGCAGCTGTTGGTAAAACTGTCCAGTGGCTTGTTGTAAATGCTTTTCGTAACGCCACTCAGTGTGTGTTTGATCCATTCCCATTTTTTTCGGAATATTTGCTGATCAATAGGCTTTTGAGTGGTTTGTTCACAGAGTTTCTCTTTATTAATCCTCTCTGGCCATTTGATCTTCAGAATGGAGCCAGCCAAGGCAGCCATTGATAAACATCTGTAATTTGTTGGAAATCGTTTTCTTAACGCAATGAAAGTTTCTTACCCATATAGAAAAACTGGCTTAACGATGGTGTCTTGTTGTTTTGTGCTGAGTCAAGAAGATTTCCAAGCTGGTTTCAAGATGATGAAGGTCTAGTCCTGCCTTTCCGATTGTGACTAGTTTTGACATCTTCATCCGTACCACAGTAGCTACCAGGACTTCAGTTTCGCCTATCTAGAGGTTTTCAACACAACGATTTGTTTATGGTTGCACGAATATGGCAGGGATGAAACAAAATACCAAAAGTGAGATGAATAACGAGTATTTCATTACAATTATTAAACTAGGGGATACATCAATGCACCTGAAGTATGTTTGAAATTGTTATTTATGAGGTTCCGGGAAATAAAACTATCATTCTCTCGACTCGTCGTAGAATGGTATTTAGTTGTACCGATATTGTTTAAAGTACTCTGGCGTTTCCCAAGTCGGTAATTTTAGAGTAAATCTTTAAAGTGAAAATGGACGATGAATTAAAGTGTACACATGCTATAAATGTAGAAGATGCATCGTGTGTAATATGCTGCTATAAGTGATTTCAAAATAAAATGTTGACTGGCAGAGAAGTAGATTTAAAAGAGATTTACAAAGGTCCTTTGATATCACAGGAGTGTGATGCACAGCGCTTTAAATAGATGTTAAATCTCATGGTTTGGTAAATTTAACTGACCTAAGAAAACGTCGATCAGTCAAACACACTTTGATACTGTTTCACAGTCTTCTGTTCCCAACATAGAAAAAACAAGATTCCGATGTTCAACACAATTTTGAAGTCAATTCGTCTATAAGGGTCAGAAAATTCCACTGCGTTACAAAAACGATTTCCAACGAGTTACAGACCTTTATCAACAGCTGCCTTCCCTGGCCCCATGTTATTACCATGATTATAATTATTGATTATTATTCCCTTACGTTCCCAGTGGAGCACAGGGCTTCAACAACATATCTACATTTTGTCCTTTCTTCTGCTGTCTTCTTCAGCTGGGTCCACGACTGATCATCTTATCTCTTCCATGTCACCCTCTCATTGATGACCTACTCGTCGCTTCCACTCGAGGGCCTGGCGTGTGATGTCATTCGATGGTCTCTTCATTGTATGCCCGATACATTTCCATTTTCCCCTACACATATGTTGAGCGATCGGCTCTTGATTGGTTTGTTCCCAGACAGTTTCTTGTTTCTAGTTCTTTCTGGCTGGTCATTTGATCTTCACTATGGACTCAGTGAAGATCACTCTGGCCACTCACACAGAATAACCGGAGCTGGGCATACAAAAGAGAATTACTCAACCACTTCTACTGTCATGGTAACAATGTTTAGCGCATCGGTGGCATAGCGGTTAAGACGCTAGCCGACCATGCAAATGGTCCGGGGTTCGATCCCCGGACGGCGCACTCCTTTGCCTCACTAAGCCAGAAATAGTGCTGGTAAAGAGGAAGGTTGGGCATAAGGCTAGCAACCCCATCCTGTAAAATAAACACTGCTACAGAAAATTCAGGCCACTAGCTTGAAGCCCTATGTTCCACTAGGAACGTGAAGGAATAAAACAAAATGGACTCAGTGAAGGTAGCTGTTGATAAAATTCTTCAACCTGTTGGAAATCCTTTCTGTGACACGTCCGTCAAGTTCCTGACGCGTTTAGAAGGACCAACTTGATATTGGTGTTCAAAATCCGAATGTTTGTCTTCATGCTGAGGCAGAGTGCAGAAGATTATCAGACTAGTTTCATGTTGACGAAGGCGAATCTTCCCATTCCCATTCTCACAGGTTTTGACATTTTCATCCACGCTATCCACATGTCTGTGGTTGAAATGATGCTTCCTAGATGAGTGGAGGAAGAAATCCCTGTCAAACCTCCCTTGTTGATGGTGATTGATGTTGGTTGTTGTTGCTGTTGGTGGTGTTTGGTTATCTGCATCACCTCCGTCTTCATCTTCTCTGTGTTTACCTGGAGTCTTGCCTTTGGTGCTCACCTCTTTTGCCAGTTTGTTGATTTCGCCAGTAAGTTTTCTAGTTTGTATGTGATCAGTCGTCTGTGCAAGTGTGACATTGAGGAAATCGTGAAAAGAGGAGAAGAGAGATTATGGCCAGTCGTGGACCCAGTTGAAGAGGGTAGCAAAAAGCTGAAAAAAGTGGACGTATGTTGTTGAAGCCCTATGTTCCACTTGGAACCCAACGGAGTAATAATAATAATCACGTTATAACACGAAGTTCATCTGTTTCTTGATAACTAGTCTACTTTTCGTCTTCCTGTTGTTGTGTTTATGTCGTACTGTATAAACAAGACGTTTATTACATGGAAGATTTCATCATGAGCTGACATCAGTTAGAAAACCACTGTA